ACAGCACAGCAGTCCTAAAGAGGCTAAGAGAGCTGCAAGTCCTCCTCTGGATGTGCTCAGAAGAGGAGGAACCGGCATGTGAAGAGACAGCTGCACTCCTGTGTGGCCAGATGTGGGACAGCATGAGTGTCCTTTGGCAGAGGAGTCAGTGAAGAAAATGTGGTACAGATACCCCCTGTAGAATACTGCTCGGTCACAAAAAGGGTGAAAACCCTGGCATTGACAACACCATGGATGGAACTGAAGGTCTTATGTGAAGTGAAATAAGCCCGGCACAGTAAGACAAGCATTTCACCATCCCACTCAAATGTGGAATTTAAAAGAAATTAAACAGCTCAGCTGGATGTGCTGGCAGATTCCTGTAACCCCAGAAATCTGGGAGGATGGGGTGGGAGGGTCACAGTTCAAACCCAGCCTGGGAAACCTAATGGCTTACCAAGACCCTGTCTGCAAATTTACAATAAAAGAATGCGGACTTAGCTCAGTGTAAAGGCCTGGTGTTCAATCCCCAGTACTGCAGGGGATAAAAAAAGTAGCTCAAATACACAAAGACAGAGGACAAAATGGTGGTTTCCATGGGTGTGGGGGAGTAGCACCCATCTGTCAAAGCAACAGACATGAGGTAAACACATTTAGGATTCTGATGGACCTCGTGAAGATGGTGGTGATAAACCTGTACTATGTTGGGATTTTTGCTTAAAAAACATGTTCACAGTTGGCCATGGTGGTGCACACCTGTAATTCTAGTGCTTTGGGAAGCTGAAGCAGAAGGATCAAGAGTCTGAGCCCAGCCTGCTGCTCCTGCCGTACACACAGACGTGACCACGCGGATGCTGGATATGGGACCCACTTCACGGAAGAGGCCACTATACTCTCCATGTGTATCCCATAGCTTCACGCTGCAAAGCTCAAAAAGACACACTACAACTCATATTTTGAAAGAAAAAGAAATAGGTGCCTCCCGCGAGTGCAGGGAGCCCTAAGAGGCAGCCGGGGGAAGTAACACGCTCCAAGAGCAAGACACTTTTCCTAGGCGTGACCTCTGCAGGCGCAGCCGCACCCTCCTCCATGACGAGAAGGCCACCTGGAGAGGAAGTCAGCTGTGCCAGCCCTGGAAGGGGTCGGAGCCGCCCTTCCCATGTTCCCATTATCTAAGGTCTCTTATCTCACACCCTGTTACAAAAGATTCCACAGCCGGTGCCAGGAGCACGCTCTGACCGCAGACTCTGCTGCCCACAGGAGCCTCCCGAGACAGCAGCCTGCGCCTGGGGCCTCCCCGCTGGCCTGTCCTCCTCAGCTGCCTTGCGACTGTGCCTTGGCATCCCTGGTGACTCTGGTACTAGCCAAGGCTCTGACCTGCTTTCTTGTCTTGTACTAAGTCCCACTCTGGCTGTCCTGAACAGGCAGGAGCTGGGTGCCCCAGACTCCCGAGGGCTATCTGCAGAGCGAGGTGGGTCCACCAGCCTGCGTGCTGAAGACACAATCCCTGCAGGGAGGCCACCTGCTACTGTCACACATTTCTCTAAATGTCACCTTTATTTGGTAATCCCCTTCCCTATATTCCTTCCCAAAGACATTAGTTCACTTCCTTCCTTATACAGAAATAGGGACACCCAGGGCACAGACAGATGTGTTTGGCATTGAGTGACCCCCCATGCCAAAGAGTCTGAGAAACCTTGCACTGAGATTGGTCCCCTCCCCACTTGACCCACTGCCCCATGGCCACGGCCTTTCTCACTATTCCTCTCCATCCTGTCTAGGAACAAGCCTGGGCCCATGTCTTGTGTTTCAGGGTCCAGGCCATCTCTCCCTCTCACGATCCCTCCAGTGCAGGGGGCATCTTCCACAGACGATGCAGGCAAGCACCAGAGGTAGGCTGATTGTCTCCACAGACTGCTCTGGAAAAACCACCAGCCCAGGACACCTGTGAGTTACATAGGCTCAGGGTGAGGGCAAAGGACTCCAGCCTCTCTTGCCTGTCTTCCCCACATCCTGACAGTGATATACAGGCTGGGAAAGTGGGGTACGCCACCTGGGGAGGGACCCTGTCTACCTGCACATCTTCAGCCTGATACCGGAAATAGAATCTTAAGACTACAAGATGCTAGAAATAAGACTGGGCCAAATACTATAATCACACATGCCCCTGCACAGGCAAAGCTAGGAACTGGGCAGGGGGAGCCAAACTGGGCTGCAGCTGAAGGGAGGCAGTAATTGGTCGCATGACCAAGCTGCCTCTCACAGAACAAAGAGAGCAGCAGGTTTTTATTAATTTGTTGGGATAGGCTACAGGGGTGGGCTGAAGTCTGGTAATTCCCATTCACCAGAGGCACAGTTTCAGAAGATGTGTTTTTCTTGTGACTCGGAACACCAGGTGGCCATGGTCAACTTGTCCTAGAGGCTATTGGAGTTTTGTATAGTTGGCACCACCAACATCCTGTGCGAAACATCCATGCTTTGTGCATCTGGGCCTCGTGACAGGGCCAGAGTACTTTGGGTGCTTGGGCTTTTGTTTCTTCTGAAGAATCACCAGGGTAGGGGCAGCAGGGAGGAGAGAGAGAAAAAAAACAAAAAGAAAACACATGCACACCCCCGTGGGCAGTCGGCCTGATTAACCCTGCATTGAAGTCACAGAACACATTAAATGATCAACACAGCTATGTGCAGAGCCAAGTAGATGATGACCCAGGAGCTGAGACAGGCACAAATGAAGACAGAGATGCCCAGCCTTTCATTCCATCTTGGTCATCGTAACATCTCCAGGAGCTTTGGTGAGGGATGGGTGTTTTCAGGAAAAGCTGCTTTCATGTCTCCAAGAAGCAGCCCAGACAGGGTTATCGCAAGCCCCACATCGAAGGTGAGATCTCCAGCAAAGCCACTGAGAAATTAACAGGCATTGCCCAGCTCTGTGAGCTCCAAAATGAGTGTCTTCAATTGACTGAGGGTGAGGGAGACTGGAGAGCTTGTTTGGGTTTTTCTCTTGGTAGCAATTTTCCTTTCAAGCAATCGTGCTGCTTCTCTGGTTTCCTAAGGGCCTCTGAAGAGGCTGGCAGGAGTAACAGTGTCCTGAGCCCCAGCATACTCTGTGCCCTAGTCTTGCACCCTCAGACCATGCGACCGTGGTGTCAAACTGTGGTACCATGCTCACAGGATGGTGACGGGAGGCACAGATGTGGTCAGCACCTGCATGGGGACAGATGTGGCCGCTCTGCGTGGTTCAGCCTTGGGTCCCTGAAGTCTGTTGTTATGGGCTTGAGAGTGCCATAGGGCAGAGAGCAGGCACAGGGCTAGAAAGAATAGTATGGAATTATGTGAGTCAGGCCCACGCGGCTTTCTGTGCCCCTGGGCCAGCTCCTGAGGGAGGACCCAGCATGGATCCGTCCAACCCTCTATCTCACCAGAGCCGTCCTTTTCACTTGCCTATGCACAACACCAAACACGTGTCACCCCTGCTCATGTTTTATTCTTCTATGATTTATCCTTCTTTCTTCAAGTTGTTTGTTGAGCGCTACTATGTGCTGGTCACACACTAGGACCTGGTGAGACAGCAGCAGACAAAGCATTACCATCTGCCCCAGAGGAGCAGGGAGCCAGTGAGGAGCTGGCCACCTGACAGATGTAATTTTGGTCCAGCTGGCCACCCAGTGCTTACAACAGCCACCCATGTGCATCTCATCGGAGCCGTGGTTTGCAGGGGGACAGGCAGGCTTCTCCTGCACACAGCTTCTGAAGATACCCGAAAGCCTTCTGAACCTTTGTAAACCATCGTTGCCCATCACCAACCATGTGCTCAGTCTACCTGCATCAGTGTCCTGCCCTTACCCTACCAGCATCACCTCTCTCAGTCACATAGATCTTTACCTCGCCCACTGCTGGTGCCCTGTCACCCACAAGGTAAAACCCAGCTGGGCACCAAGGGTCCTGTTCTCAAAGTGTGCCCGTGCCTGAACTTCACCTGGGGAAATGCAAGACTTGGGGTGTACCAGACCCACTGAGTCAAGATCCTCAGGAGTTAGTTGCCAAGTTTTAAAAAGCCGCCCCAAGGAAGAAACCCCTCCCAATACATACTAATGAAATGACAACTTGTGACCATGAGCTCCAATAGACCTGCCAGTGGGGAACAATGACAGATAACTAGCTGAACACTGATTATGGTGTAATTCTCATTTGAAAATTTATTATACCCCTTTTAGATGAGAAAAATGGAGGTTTCCAGTCTAACTGGTTTGCTCAGGCTCATGCAGCAGAAGCAGGGGATGTAGATTGAAACCTGGTCTGTTGGGATCCAGGGCTATGTGTGAGCGCTAAGCTGCCGCCTGGCACCTGGTGAGCCAGTGTGGGGAAGGGACTGCTGCCAGCCCTTGGGAGAGTGTGCTGGCTGCCTCTCACTGGCCCCTATCAACCCATCTCTGAGGCTTCGTCCCCCAGTTGGGTCTTGATCTTTGGGTGACTCCACTCATCTGCCCTGAGCACTCTGATCCCCCAAGAACAATGGGGTTATTTGGGTAAGCAGAGGTATGAGTTCAAGGCTGGGGGTGCTGAAGAGTTTTTCCTTGTAAAAGGAAAAACGAAGTAAACACGGTATTCCAAACAGGCAGTTTCAGCACTCCCCTTGGGTGCAAGCAAAGGAAACCCCAGCAGGCAAGGTGAGTCCTTGGAACGCACAGAGCTGCCAGGTGGGGGCCTCAGGTTTGTCTCTGAGGGCGCCTGAGTGCTGAGCAGGTGCACCGAGGGCGGAGCAGACAGCGCTCACAGCCTGATAGAGCTCTCACAGCCTGATAGAGCGCTCATTCAAGGGAAGAAAAGGATGTGCTGAGCCCTCAGGGGATCCCACGCTGACCAGCAAGCCTCTCTGTCAGGCTCGCATCTGCACAGAACCTTAATGACTTGAGAAAAGGAGGGGTGATAACAGAAAATGAGACCAAATGTTGGCAAACACATCCGTGTACTGGCTTCACAATTCAGCTGTTCAGCGACAAGAAACCCGTTGATCCAAGGGGTTTTGTGAGGCGTAAATCAGTTTATTGGAGCCTTTTTGGCTATTAGCATCCCTAAATCTGAGACTTTCCATTACAAGTGCAAATATTTCCTATAAAATGGTTTTTATTTGCATATTAAAACTTTCTATTTGTACTTTGTCTTCAAAAATTCCATATACATATTTACATAATATCCTCTGGGCTTTTCTGTCCTCCTAACTTGCATGCAGTTGCCTCTCCCTAGTTTAGATCGTCAAGCACAGGATACTGTATAACTTTGTCTTCTCCGCTTTTACGTTATGCTTCACGTTAGCAAATGTTGCTTTAATCCGGATTGATATCATCTTTAAAGAGGAAGGCTGTTAGTTCTTCTGGTGGGAATCTCAGCCCGGAGTGAAAGCCACACTGTGCACAGGTCCTGCTCTCTGCAACAGTGGGTCTTTCTTGCATAGCTGCAGCTGATCTGCAATCCAGGGTGACAGTCTTGTTCTGGGAAAGGGACCCAAAACCAGGAAGGAGAGTGTGCTATCACATTCCCTGCGGAAATTTGTGCCCACAAGATTTCTCTCCTCAACTAAAAACTGTCTTAAAAGTGTAAACTTTCCATAATGTTAGCAGGGACTTAGTTTCACTCTACTTGCTGAGTACTGTATTTCCATTATGTAAACACCTGAAATAGCAAACATGGTAAAAAAAAAAAATCTCCATGTTTATGATTCCTTTCATCCAATCACACAACCCATCTGCATCACTAATGCAGTAAGGCAAGGTGACATCAGAGACTACTGCCACAGTCTCGCTATTATTTTGCTAAATTCAGCCTGGGACGAAATAATGTCAGCTCTGTCCATAAACTGAGAAGCTATCCAGTGGGCCTTAGGACAGAGGATCTGTTTCCATTTTTACTGATAATCTACTGGGCATTCAGGCAATTCACTGGACTGTGAATCCAACCCCCTTGATACGCAGACTTCCTTGTATTTGGAAAAAAGTCCTTAAAAGTCAGAGGCCAAAAGTAGACCTACAATGTCTCCAATGTTTTGGTTTTGTCGGTTTTGTTCTTTACTGTTTTTTCAATTTTATTATAACTGATGATATAGGCAATTCTATTAGAGATAGCGGGAGGCATTATGGTAACCATTATTGATCACCTTGTATTATGCTTTTACATTATCTATTATGTCCACCCTTTTGATTTGATTGACTCTGTTCTGTTATGTCACATTTGGTTCTACTCCCTTCCAAAAAAGTAATAAGAACTGTGGGAGTAACAAAACCCAAAATGTGTAATTGTCATTGTACAAAAGAGAGGAAAAGAAAGTGCTCTAAATAATATAACTGCATGTATGTTTAAGTGTATAAGGTAGAAAATGATATCACTGAGTTTTATTGGATCATTGAACAGAACTGTTTGCAGTCTCACTGTTGGAATGTCTACTTTATAAGCTTTAACTTTGTGACTTGAACAATTATTTCTAAGATGACAATATGTAATCCATTAACTAGTGATTTCCTACTGTTTATTTTTTTCTGTAAATCTGTATAACTTGTACCCTTTCTCTGCTTTTTTTTTCTCCTTAAATAAAATTTTTTTTTAAAAAAAGTCAGAGGCCAATACTGTGACTTCGTAACTGTTGAAGTAATTGCTTGAGGGGTGCAGTTTTCTGTTCCCCGAACCGTGCAATTGCAGGCAGGCAGCCCATCTCGGAAACTCCAGATTTTCCAGGCAGAAGATGAGGATCTGGGAGACTGGTGGTCTTTGTTTGCTGAAAGACTAATGAGAAGGAACCCAGGAACCTCTTTCTGAGTGACTCCTGAGTAACAAATCAAAACACTGGAGTAATGCAAATGAAAATTTTAGGAGAGTAAGGTTGGGAGCCAGACACTTCCTCAGGAATCACCATCAGAGCCAAGGGGCAGGCTAGCTGTGAAGCTGCAAGATGGCCTTTGTGGGCTTGCACATGGACCCCTAGGCCCTTTCCTTCCACAAGGGACCCTCTGCAGACCACGTAGAACACACCTGTGGGCACCGCACCATCCAGTGAACCCAGATATGATATAACGTGATCAGTGTCCCCTTAGGTAACTGGTCTTCCCGTGTTGGCCCGAAGTTAAGTCTGAACACAGGAATATGGTTACCTAGCAGTGGTTCAGTAACACCACAGCCCAAAATTTTGGTGCTTCTTCCCTGCATTCTGCCTCGTGACTTCACCTCAGTGGCTCAAGATTTTACTAAGAAGGCTCAGAAATCACCGTGGATATAAATACATTGAAAAAGTAAAAATGAATTACCTGAGGAAGGAAGAGAAAGTGAGCATTGGGGTCATAAAAATACCCCTGTTTATTATTAGTAGTAATTTAAAGATGTTTATTGAGATTCTGTGATGAGAAAAATCTACAGGCTGTCCTACAAAATGTGACTCAGTCCCTCCGTAAGTAGTCTGGAGGAATTTGAGTGTGAAAGGGAAATGTAAATATAAAACCCATACACTGTGGTTTGGAGTATTATTTAAATTACAAAAGAGTGGCTCAAACTTCAGGAAACTGTTCAAAAGAGAGGAAAATCAAGATGATCTCACCTTCAGCAACAACCTCACGAGGAAACAGGAAGTAACTGAGGGCAACTTGGAGTTGATAAGCACTGTTCATGTAAGCACCAGGCGCACATGTCCAAGAGAGAGGGAACAGACTCGTGGATGGAGGCAGGCCACAGAGCACGAGAAAACGGGAAGGGAGTGAGGAGTGAACCCTCCTCTATCACTGTGATCTCACCTATTGGAGTACAGAGAACTCACTCCTACTTTTTAATTTGATGTGCCTTGGCGGCCATCTATTGAGTATCAGTTGAGGTTCATTGACCTGTCTGGGTATTCTCCAGAGCCTGAAGCTGTGGTGTGAATAAAGGTGTGACCTAAAATCCGTCCCCTGGGATCACAGTGATGCCCCTGGGTGTCACAGGGCTCTCAAAAATAACTTGCTGTGCACTTTGAACACCCAACACACTCGAATGATTGGCCAGGTCCAGCCAAAGTATAATACAGCAGTGCATTTTCAATGTGTTCTCTCCGTCATCTCTGATTAAGGAAAACCTTCCTTTTAGGTTGGCAAAAAAAAAAAAAAAAAAAAAAAACAAAGACGGCCTCAGAGAGACTAGTTTCTGAAGATGAGCAACATGGGCAAGCTTGGGATCCAGGGGACACTGGAGCCCACATCACTCCATGTTGCTGAGCCCTGCTGTTGTCAACTTTCCTCTGAAGGTAATTGGGTTTTTCTTTGCCTTCAGAAGAACCATCTTCTGGCACCAGGTCTGCATCGTGAGGAGCCTCAGTGTCAAGTTCATATTGTGCTTCTTTTGGCTCTTTACCGGCCACAGAAAAGGGAACCAGTTCCAGGGACTTGGGACCCAGCCTGAGGGTCAGAAGCAAAAAGCAGGAGTTGTCAGGAAGACTTACCGTGGAAGGGCTTCTCATGCTCAGACATTTATAGTGCCATGGCAGCTCCTGGCTTTATTATTTTATTAATTACATGTAATAATACCATTGTCTGACAATTTATTTGCATAAATTAACATACGGTAGACCTGGCTAAACTGAGAGAATTTATGGATTTCCTGCAATCCGAGAATGCAGGAAAGGGACTCCTTGAAAGCCAGCAGTGCCAGCCCCTGAGCTGGGCACAGACTCAAGGTATTTGAGACCACAGGGCATGATGGACACGGGGCAGGCAGCAGCAGAGGGACAGCCAGGCGGGCAGGGACAATTGAAAGGTCTGTAGCAGGCAGGGAGGGCAGACTTCATCAGACCCAGGGGGACTTGGATTGTTTCAGGCAGGAGAACAAGGAGCTGTGCCCATGTCAGAATTCTGTGGTCACCTGAGAAGAGAGACTTGAAAGGGGGCAGGCAGGGAGCATAAAGGCTGAAACATAGGTATGAGGAGGAGGCTGCTGAGTTAAGAGGAGCCATGGTCTCAAGACACATAAGGAGGTGGAGACCTGACAGGGGAAGAGATGCTCCAGCGTGGGGAGAGTCGATTTCTGAATCCCACTTGTGACACAGACCTACGTGTGTACACGTTTGTGCTGTGGACCCCCAGCTGTCATTGTCAGAGGGCCTTGGCCCACTCTGTAAGGCCTGACAGCAAACAAACAAGCTAAGGGGAGTCCCGAGACACATGGAGCCACCTAGCTCCTCCCTGGACACCAGCTTCTCCTGACAACAGCGGGTCTGAGGACCGGGCACCATGCACCATTTTCTCCCATCTCTTCCCCACCCCCGTGCCTGCTACCCCTTCTCCCTGGCCCTCCTCCTCCCTTCCCATCTCTCCTCTGCCACTGCTGGCTCCTGTCACTCGCTGGTTCTGCCTTCTCTGTCTCCATCCACTTTGGCCAGACCCCATATTCATGGTGCTAGGAACTCTATGAGCACTTTTTGCTCTCTGATTTTCAGTGACTTTAGACCCCAAGTTGCTCAGATCCTCTCCCCAAATCTACCACTGACCTTTCCCAGGAAGCACCACAGTTGTAGTGGGAGGCCTTGGCTGCAACCCTGTGGATTGCCGTGCTCCCTGCTGGGTATCAGATCAGCTGCCTGGCATCAACCCCTCAGGCTATTCTGTCAGCCTGGGCATTTAATTAACTAATTACAACCTGCTGACATGAGTGCCCAGCATGGTGCATGGGGGCAGGGTTTTTTTTTTTTTTCCTTCCAATTCATTTATCAGGAGCTCTGCATTCATCTAATGGGTCTTCCCTGAGGGGATGGAGCAGTAATTGGGGTTTCCAACAGGAGGTTCTGGGCTGGTCGCACAGCCAACACTAAGTGTCACCATCTGTCAGTGTTTGCTTACAGCCCCACCCTGCAGCCCACAGCCTGATAAGGGTGGCAGAGGGGACTGTGGGACACAGATGGCAGCAGGAGCATCTGGAGCAGGATGATGCTTCTGTCCTGCCCCAAGAGCTGCCTTCACAGATCCCCAGGTGTAGCTCTCAGGAGGTGTGAGATACGTTGGCCGTGCTCTGTTAGGGCTGCTGCTGAGGAAATTTCATTCAAGCAAAGCAGCTAAAGGGAGCTAAGAAGGGAAGGTCCCTTGGCACCCAACACAGCTGGCACTGCAGGATCCAGGGAAAGGTCCCTTCTCACAGCAGGATGCAGCTTAGTTTCGGGATCTGCTGCAGGAGGTCTTGCCTGAGCCCAGCCAGGGGACAGTTAGTATAACAGACTGACAGCCATTGGACTTTAGACCCTGAGTTCCTCTCCTCAAACATACGGGAAGGGCAATTTCCCTTCTGGAAGTCCCAGGGGGACACCCAGAATTGTCCGAACGCCAGTGGTTGCAGGCATTCCCGAGCTGTGGCCCTGTCCTCCCTCTTCTGGGAGTGAAACCCAGGGCATTGTGCTCTCTGGGTTAACGTAAGCACTTTACCACTGAGTAATCCCTGCCTCCCTCTGGCCTCCCTGACGGCATCTCCTTTCTGCACCTATGCACCCCGTGACAACACTGGGCCTGCTTGGATAATTTAAGAAGGGTTGATTGGCAATGCCAGTTCCATCTGCCTCATAGCCCCTGGCCACCAGAAGCTAATAGTCACAGGATCTGCAGATTCAAACACAAATATCAGTGGGACACCATTACTGTCCCCAGGACGCAAGAGGGTTTTAAGATGAGACACTTTAAAACTGAAAGGAAAAAGTACACCAGTGGCTGGCAGATGGCCGTATTACTGTGCAGCGAGGTGGGGGAGCAGAGGTCCGTGCCCTATGAGAATAAAGGTTACAATGCAGATACATGCGTTGGTCAGTTTTTTGTCTCTGTGACCAAATTCCTGACATATACAACTTAAAAGAAGAGGATTTGCTTTGGCTCACAGTGTCAGAGGGTCAGTCCATGGCTGGTTGGGGCCAAAGCACTATGCACCCTGGTGGGTGGCCATGCTCACCTGATGGTGGCTAGGAAAGCAAGGAAGACTTAATACCCTCCAAAGGCAAGCCCCGGTAACTTCCTGTCGTCACCTAGACCCCACCTCCGGCCATTCATTCTCCTGTAAACGCACCAATAGTTCATCCATCACTGAAGTCATGCCCTCTTGACTCAGCCACCTTCCAAAACTCCTACCTCTGATCACACAAGAGCTTGAGGGACATTCTAGATCTAAACCACAACAAAACACATTCATAGGTTAGTATAAAACAAATAATAAATCAGGGCATTTCTTTGTAGCTTAAAGTAAGTACAGCCTTCTCAATTTGGTTTTCTTAATTAACATAAAGCTTTTTTCAGTAGTTTTATGAATTCTAACACATCTGGACTCTTGTAATAGCAGCAGGAAAAACAATTCCAAAACTCTCAAAAGTTCCTTCCTCCATCTCTTTGAGGTCACACTGAGCACAGTCCCCACTCACTCTCTGTACCTACAGAGACATTCTGAGGGTGTCATAGAAGTCAAATAACACACTAGGTAGCTTTAAAAAAAACCCTTTGCATGATGCCTGTGATATTCTCCTAAAATGCAGTGAGTACCCAGAGTTCATGTCTCTTGTTACTGACTGGCACTGTATAGATGGACACAATTGTTTGCTAATTATCCTGTTAAATATTGTCCCATTGTCCCAGATTTTGAAGCTTACAAACAGAATTGCTACTAATATCAGTGTATCAGTATGTAGAATTATTTCTTTTTCTCTTTCTCTCTTCCTTTTTTTCTTACTTTTCTTTCTTTCTTTCTTTCTTTCTTTCTTTCTTTCTTTCTTTCTTTCTTTCTTTCTTTCTTTCTTTTCTTTCTTCCTTTCATCATTGTTGTCTAAGAAATCAGACTCATGACCTTGCAATTGTCAGGCAGGCACTGTGCAGTGGCCCTGAGCTCTATCCCTGGCCCCTGCTGGGTGGGTTTTAAAGTACTTCCTGCTCTAAGAGATGTACCTGGGATGCAGTTTACCGTCACATGCCAGGGTGCTGCATTGCACTTGAAAGAAGCCACTAGACCCCTCTGTCTAGTGGCTAGGAGAAGCCAGCAGCCCCGTGCCACGTCATTGTCCTCGGTGTTGTGTGACAGCTCTTGCTGTGGCCAGCAATCCCAGAGCTGGCTGTCCTGTGCTTTGGTTTGCTTTTGCTTTTGTTTTTGGTCATTTTGTGAGGTGTACAGCAGCACCTCCCCTGGCTAGAATTTACCTCTCTGCAGTGGCCCTTTGCACACCCTCCTGTGTTTCCAGTGCTGCCACGTAAGGGCAGTGTCATGAACCCCAATTGCAGGTGAGGTAAAGGAGGCCTCGGCCATTCATCCAGGGGCACTCGCCCAACTGCCAGGACGCTAACCAGAGCCTTGTGCGCCCTGAAAGTGGTCTGCTATGCAGGCACTGGTGCCGCTGAGCTAAACCCCAGCTGAAAGTGTTATGCTAAGCAGGTTAAAAAGTTACCTCAGTTAACCCACACGCTAAGCCCAGACATCGTACCTTATTTTATTTTACACTAATGTGTGTGTTCTTATTTAGAAAAAAAAAAGTGGCTTGGCTCAAACCAATCTATCTTGAAGGACAATTTTCAGACAGGCAGATGTTGCTTCTTTTTCACATACTGATTCATGCTCCTAAAGTCACCTGGTCCCGAGACGCTGCGGACCCTATCTGCCTGAGGGGCCAGCCCTGCTCGTAGGCTTCTGTCCTGTATCCTTCCCTCAGGGCCCAGAGTTAACAGAGAGCCAGTGTTTCAGCAGCAGGTCCCGCTGCTTCTGAAAGCCCTTGTGGGGAGGATGCATGCCCAAGGGTTGGGGGGGGGAGATCTCCGGGAGAGAGACAGAGAGAAGAGAGAAGATAGGTGAAACAAGACCATTCATTAGAAGACACGAGGGTTAAGTGGGGACACAGGAAATCCTTGTGCAGTTCTCTCTGCATTTCTACACAATTTCAACATATCAAAATTAAGTTAAATTTTTAAATATAGACAACTGTGTGTCTGTGTGTACATGCAGGTACACAAACCCCACCTTCAAAGCGACTGGTCTGATGGCCTGGCCTCTGGGTCCTGCTGTCTGCTTAAACATCTTATCCACCTGGCAGGCATAGTGTCTGCACTTCTATGACCTGAACCTAGGGCCTATTGTGCCTTCATTTATGCCATTTCCTAGGGACCAGTTTGTTTGTAGCTGGGTTTATCTTCTTTGTGCATATTTTCCTGCAGAGATGTCTGGCTCATGTGGCTCATACTGTGCCCCCAGTTGGAGACTCTGTGTCCCACCCCTTGAAGCAGCTCCTGTCCTGGAAACAAGAGCAGCCTTCTGCTTGGAGGATCCTTCTCTTGTGCAGGAAAGCCCTGCTAGAATACTATGCAGATTCTGCATAAAAGCCTACCTGGGCTATTTCCTGAGCCATCATGAGTCTGCCTGCCCCCAAAATCTGAACCCCCTCTCCTGTCATCCT